TGGATCACCACGATCCCATCCACATCGAGTTCGTGTCGCTTGATCTTTTGAATATCTTCTGCAATCGCGTCGTCGCTGTGGACTCTGCTCCTGGAGTTGCTCAAGGCGCCGCTTCGTCTCTCCGCTACTAGGTTGTAGTTTCTTCAAGCCCTTCTTGATGGCTTTTTGTGCTTTTGGCCATTGTCGCAACGCGCAGAAAGCCGTGGCTTCGCGGAGAAATGCCTCGGACGTGCCGCTCTCGTTGGCGCGATCATGGGCTGTCGTAGCCTCCACAACCCACCCGTCCTTGGGAGCAGGTCCGACAACAAAGGTCGTGTGTGCTTTCTTTACTGTACCTTGGATCTTGCCCATTTTCTGCTGCTTGCGCAGCTTCTTCTTGTTCACCATGGTCTCTTCTTTTGCTTGCTTGCCTCGTCGTCTCACCTTTTGTTTCCTCGTGCTTTTTTGGTGGCGTTGTGATGAGAGATCGAAAGCCGATGTGTGGGAATGGAGCGCCTGCACGCCCAACCGCTGTTCACTGAACCAAATTAAAGAACCAATGACCGTGGTTCAGTGAACACATGAAACGCATACGTCAGTCTGAATGAAGAATGCAATCTCAAAGAAAAGAGGGAAGGCGATGATGAAAGAGTTGGATCTTCATTGCATCGCTCAGCTTTATTATTGGAAGCTACTTGAATACACAGCATTTAAATAGCTGGCTCCTGAAGGTGGAGGTAGTGTAATCGAGAGACACGAGAAGAAATGAGAGTAAACTCGCTGGCGCTGATCTTTTTTTGCGTGCCCCCCTGTTTGGCATGGCTACCAGGGCCTGGGTTGGTTTCACCTACCAACAGAATACGGCAGAAGCACTCGCAATGGTCGCCTATAACTTTGTACCAGTCGGAATCGTCCTCTCTGACAGAAGATACGGATGAAGAAAGATCAATCACTGAAAAGGAAACGCTCTTGCGTCAACGCGACGATGCGCAAGCCGTGTTGGATCGCCTTGTCTCGCTCAAGGGCGTCCTGGAACTCGATGATCCGCTCCTTTCCATGGAAAACTACCAACGCCAAGTCAGCCAAATTGAAGAACAGGTACAACAATTGGAAATGGAAATTGTGCCCCCGGCAGGACTGACCATGGAGGAATTCCAGGCTGCCATGGCATTATTTTTTCAAATGCCATTTTCAGTACGATATGCCTTTTGTCAAGCCTTGGAATTGGAAAATCCAGGCAAGGCAGCGGCTGATTTGAAGCAGTTACCCAACATTGTGACGCTACTCTACCAGCAACGGATTCAATTGACTCCACAGCGACTGCAAGATGCCCTCGCAACGGTACAAGCACGGCAAGTGGTATCCTCCATCAAAATGAGCTTGGTGGGTGATGCCGATGCAACTACCAGCAACACGCAATCTACTTCCAATGACGACTTTCCAAAAACGCTTCAAGATCTATTTGGAGAAGCAGGCAAATCAGAAGAAGAAATGAAACTGGAAAACACCGTCAATAACGTACTGGGGCGGGTGACACGGAAAGAGGGCATGGAAGTCACCAAGTCAAATCTGGATCGTGTGATGAAGGCTTTGGGCAAGGAAACGTTTGTAGTGTCTGGTACGGAAAAGATTCCTGGAGGCTACGTTATCCGTGGGAAAAATACCAAACCATCCGGAGCCGAGCTCATTGAGGCCATTGACGCCAAACTACCCGAAGATTTCCCGGCTCAGGTCTCTTTGATGGATGACGTGACAGATCCAGATTTGATGGGTGGCGACCCAGTACTGGTGTTGCTCAACAAGGACTTTTCCACCGAGACATCCGGACTTCTAACCTTTCTTTGCTCCCTAACGGCACTGTCGTCCGCCTTTGCCTATTGCGTGGGAGTGTACGGATCGAACGAGGTTGTCACGGCAGCTCTTTCGGAAGCCAATGCGGTCCAGGACGCCGGAGGGATATCGTTGTTTACGGATCGAGTACTGGATGTGTTTTTGCCATTGATGTGCCTGCAAGTGTGGCATGAGCTGGGGCATTTTTCCGTGGCAAAACTCTACAAAATGGAAATGGGACTACCCATCTTGTTGCCGTTTTGGAGCTTGCCCTTTATGGGCGCCAAGACAGACTTGATCGCTTCCCCTCCCAACAAATCGGCCCTGTTTGATTTTGCTATTGCCGGTCCTCTCGCGGGCTTGCTGGGGTCCGTAGGACTCTTGGCCGGGGGACTAGTCTTGACGGCGACAGCCGATGCTTCCACGCTACAGTATTATCCTTCCTTGCCCATCAGTCTCGTCACGACAAGTACATTGGGGGGATCCATGGTGGATTACTTTCTCGGAGGAGGAGTTGTGGGCGTGGACAATCGATTCATTACCATGCAAGATCCGTCCACTGCTATTTTCATGCACCCTGTCGCCGTTGCTGGATATTGTGGCGTCCTCATTAATGCATTGCAGTTGTTGCCTCTTGGCAGCACCGACGGAGGAAGAATGTCACTTGCCATTTTTGGACGTTACGGTCAGACGTTTGTGGGGGCACTGGTGTGGGTGTCGCTGCTGATTGCAACGCTTACCCTGGAACGCCCCGATATACTGATTGCAGCTTGGGTGGTCAACAATTTTGTACAGAACGATTTGGAGATTCCTTGTCGCGATGAGACGGACGAGCTCAGCATTCCTCGCGTGCTGGCGGCAGTGAGTCTTTGGTTTGTCACCGTTCTTGCAATCACACCGCTATCACAATAGTAATCAAACAACAGAAAGAGAAAGCAATAATGAGCTAGCTAGCTATCACGAATGAATCCTGATGCATAGTCTAGCTAGCATCGTCGTTGTCAGCCCAGTTTTAAAAAGAAAGAAGCGGCAACACTTTATTGGTGCTGGTCAAATAATGAATGATCAATCATTTCGCCAACTCGCAAAGCACTAGGTAGGAAGCTGTGTTGGCCAGGGAGGCACGAGCTAAAGGCAACGATCTCGGACGACGCGTCGAGGAAGCTCCAAAGAAGAAGCTATGTCTCGTCACTCTCAGATGGCACTGCAAACGCCTGATGAGAGGGGGGTTGGTCGACTGTGCTTCCATTGGATGAAGGCACCGACAAAAACAGATCGAGTCCATTACGATTTTCCATCTAGCTAGATAGCTGCGCCGTTTCAGACCAAGACTAAGTATATCTCCGCGAGAACGGAACGAACTAAAAGTGAGACGCAGCAACCAGCGGAAGCTAGTGTGGTCGGAACTGTTTTGATAAGTTTTAGGGCATCACACCATCATCTGGAAGCGCAAATTACAGATCCGTCTGAAATTCTTGTGTACATGTAGGCAACCGTCACCGCAAGCAGATGATGATTCGAAGCAGATGATGATGATTGTCGAATATTTTTGATGCTCAAGTTCAATCAAATCACCCAAGAAAGAAAAAAAGAAAAAAGACATGCCATTCATCCATCCCTCCGCCGCGACCCAAGTGAAGCATAGCGACCCAATTATATATTTGCCAATCTTTTTGTGTCCTGTTTGTTTAGTTGTCGCCATCGGCATTTCCAGCTGCGGCCGCATCACCTTCTCCGTCTGCTGCATCACTGGTGACATTGAAGATTTCGCGCAGTTCCCCTGCCGATTTTCCCTTGATGAGAATGGAAACCGCCAATACGGTCAAATCGAGGAGCGGCTTGATATTCAAGTAATTGGCCGCCGCGACGAGTTCAAAGAGTTGCTTTTGCGGAAGATCCACAAACTCGGCATACCATTTTTGTACGAGATCGTCAATGTTGCTCGACTTGAGGGGAGTTTGGATGGGAGTCATTTGTTCTTCCTGGTAGTGTTTGCCAAAGGCAATCACTTTCCGAAGGACATCCGCCGACACGTTGGGCAGTGGAACCTTCTTGTCTTCCATGTCCTCGTCTTCGTCAAACATCTCATCAATCATCTGAGACAACCGAGCTACCTTGACGGGGACTTCGAAGCATTCGCCTTCGCGAGATTCCTGCACAAACAAAACAAGACATGGTCACAGCATTGTCAGTGCCACACGAGCCGAAACAGAAAACACGATCTGAAAGGAATTCCCATCGACATTTCACAGCAAACATCTCAGCGGAAACGACGCTGCTCCCAACAGCTGCAACGTGACTGAGTGCTTACCAAGTTGACGACGCCAGATTCAGCCATTGTGATTGTCTTTTGGATTATAGTGTCAAGTGGGGAGAGGTTTGTGGGTTGGCTCAACGGATTTCGTGTTGTGTTGTGACGACGCTGTCCTGCCTGTTTCGGGAGGAGTGCACGATAGATTTTGAGACGCACACTTTTCCAACAAACCCAAACATGAGTAAACGTGAATGCAAAAATCTTCGCAGTGCGCGCAGGAGTGGTCCGACTTCGAAGTTTTGGTTTATCCGAATGCAACCTCGAAAGCAACGAGCTTTGGATACCTCATCTTTCCCAATGACCCTCGCAATGCTCTAGCTAGCTCACAATCACATAGGTTTCACATAATTTCGTTTTCTACCAATACGTAGCCATATCCAATAATGCAAGAGCACAGCTACAAAGACCACCCACAACATGCAGCATCGACCATACCGTCAGTCGTTGCGATGTCGACCTTCCGCAATAATCGGAGCCGCCTGCTTCACTTGTCTTGTCTAGTAGCTTGGGCGATCGGAATCAAGACAGTGTTGACGTTGCTACAACACGATGTCATGCAAACTACAGTGGGAGGGCGAGAGCTAATGGCAGTAGCGCCTGACGACTATCCCCTCTTGATGAAGAATGCAACTTCCAATGATACTAGTAAGCCAGACGAAGAAGAAGCTACACCAAACGATTCGGTCGAAGAAGAAGACTCCATGGTGGAGCAACTTCCTCCGCCGCCACGCCCCAAATACTACGAGCTGGTGGAACAAATCCAAAAGCTCACGTCCATCGAAGATGCGCAGGGGCGAACACAGCGCAATTCCCACACGGCATACAATCGAGCCATTGTGGTCCAGCACGCTCCCTGGTTGCCCTATCGACGCTTGTGCAAGGATACTTGCTGTGTGGAAACCGTGGCGATTTCGTTGGAACAAGATGACCATCAAATCATTCAAAACCGGGATGGTCGAACACTGGCCGACCTCACCCTCCAGCAATTTGACAAACCCAAACAACACTATAGGTTTCATTCGCAGAGTATCAATGAAGCTGTCCTACCTTGTATTGTCCCCGGAACCATTATTCAAATCGAAAATCACAACAAGGGCCTCCAGTACTTTTGGAAGGTGTTGCGTCCCAAAATCAAAGTGCCTTACATTCTCTTGACCACCGGTACCGATGACGACAGCCCCCAATTTGGGGCAGAGTACATTTCCGATCCCCTCCTGATCAAGTGGTATGGTACCAATCCTAAATACTCCAATCATCTGTCCTTTCAAAAGCACCTTGGCACAAAGTTCAGGGGCTTTCATTTGGGACTGAGCGGTGTGGTCCACCCCCAAGAGCGCTTCCTGTTGCCATACTTGGAGCTCACCAACTTTACGAACCCGTTTGCGGACAAGGAACAGTGGGACTTTTCAAAGCAACCCCTGGATTTCTCCAAGGATGTATTTGTTCACTTTGGACTTCGCAGAAAAAACAGAAAAGCTTTGTGGAAGGTTCTATGTCCTCAGAATGCTACATCCGGGGTTTCTTGCAATCGTGAAACCACAAATCTGCCAGTTCATGCCATCAATGCTGACATGAGCCAATACCGGTTTGGAGTTAGCCCCATTGGGGCAGGGTATGACTGCTACAGAACATATGAAATGCTCTTGTTGGGCATCATCCCAATCATTGAGGAGAGATTCCCAGAAAGCTATGACTTGTTTGAAGGCCTTCCTGTGATCCACATGGCAGACATGGGAGAAGCCAACAGCACACAACAGTTCAAAGATGCAATCGTGAACTACATTGAGAGTGACAAGTTTCAGGAATCAAACTTTGAGGCTGGCTGGGAGCGGCTCTTTCTTAAGCACAGGAGACGCCAGCTGTTACGGGATGCTGGGAGGGAGAAGGAAATCGTTGTGGACGATCAAGGGAAAGAATACTATCAAGCATACCTCTACAGCAGTGATGAAAAAGATATATTCTGCCGCGACAATGGTAGCTGTGAATCTTCCAAGGACAAAAACGCCATGGATTGGTTTTCGAGTCCAAAGCCCAAAATGACGTTGAAGGAAAAGGAAAAGGTGATAAAGGAAAAGGACTGGCTCATGAAATGGGAGCACAAGGGCCAGAGACCAGCCATTTGGTGACGATTAGATGAAAAATGAACAACAGTTGCTTCAAAAGTCTGGTCTCAAACCAGCCCCCATTGATCTGGCACATCTTGAGACGACGTAGTTATAGGTAAATCGGTAAATGCATATTTTGTATGATTGAAACGAGCTACTAGTCCTAGAGTACACGGACCTGATCGCATCAGCAACCAATCAGCACGACGCATGAACCAAAGTTGCTTCATGGATTTGGCAAATTCGTTTTCAACAAGTTGGACCCTCAAAAGGCAACCACCCGTATCGTACCGGTACCTGGTACTACTGTAGGGCGAAACCGGGGGATTCCTAGGCAGATGGCCAAACCTGCTACGGTATGCTGCCCCTCGTTCCTGATCCAATGCTAGCACTTTCAAAGCATATTCCACTGAACGTAAGCTGCACCAGATGCCTCGGCACCGGTACTGTACCAACCCCCCGCTCCCCTATGCTTGTGTCACGAATCGCCTAATCACGAGCACCATTTCCTCGGCCATATGCATCGAAAATCCAAATGGGAGAACCTGCTTGGGATAACTCAAGCAACAGCACTCGCCATTAAAGGTTTCGGATCCAAGTCCAACGAATCATTCAATCATTCAATCAGCACAGACACTCATGACACAATCATCAGTTTTGGTTAGCTGGAGCTCATCGCTGGGCAGCGCCAACTGTGCGGTTGATTCTGGCTTTTTGTTTTCAAGCTTTCAAACCTACAATGGCACCTCCCGCGATCAAACGGCCGCGTCAATCCTTGACACGTAGGCTGATGACAGGTTCTGTTTGGTTTATGGCAACCCGTACGCTGATGACAGGTTCTGTTTGGTTCATGGCAGGTTCGTTCACCACTCGATGGCTGTCTGGGGAACCTGCCGGAAGGTGGCTCAGCGAGCAAGCGCTGAGCTCATGCGGCTCGTCCATGTCGTCTCTTTGCGAGACTCTGCCTCCCAAGAATGGCATTGGAGTCAACTCAACCAGCAAAGAAATTTTGCACCTGCAGCCTCTTCTTGCAAATGAAATGGATAGAATGGACTTTTTGGGCAGTTCGAAGGAACGACGTCTTGAACTTCCGCCTCCTCCCCAAGAGATTGACGGTTCCAGCACTGGAACAAAGCAACTAATAAGGTATTTTGAAGCGAGGCATCAAATCAATGAGACAATGCACGGCAAAAACAAGAGCAAGGATCTTTCCGGTACTGCCTATGAGAGGGCGCAGGTTGTGAAACATGCACCTTGGATGCCACGACGAAAAATGTGCAAAGAATCATGTTGTGTTGAGGCTGTGGCCATCTCCCTTGCTCAGGACGAACACCAGATTATCCATGGAAGGGATGCAATGGACCTGTCTGATTTGATGGTCCGGCATTACGATCGGAGTCACAGGAAAGGAGGTAGAGTCCAATTTCATGCCCAAATGCTGAACGAAAAGATGCTTCCCTGCCTTGTGCCAGGAACAACAATATTCGTGGAGAATCATCACAAGGATCTGCTCTATTTCTGGCAAAAACTACGTCCTCAGATTGAAGTTCCTTATGTTCTCATCACAAGTCTCTCAGATGGAAATAGCCCCTTCGCCAGATCTGAAAACATTGGAGACCCACTTCTGATGAAGTGGTATGGCACAAATCCCAAATACTCAAAGCATCCCACTTTCCAAAAGCATTATGAAAAGAAGTTCAAGCCAATGCACTTAGGACTTGCTGGATTTGGTTTTGTCAAGCAAGAGCAGCACCTCCTGCCATACCTGAGGCTCAACAACTTTACCAATCCTTTCTTGGACAAAGCAAGGTGGGACTTTTCGATGGAACCATTTGACTTTGAGAAAGATGTGTTTATTCATTTTGGGCTTCACAAGGACCACAGAAGAGCTCTCTGGCAGGTCTTGTGTCCCAATGCCTCTGCCACAAGCGTGTCCTGTAACAGAAATACCAGGACCTTGGCAGTCACCGAAATCTATGCTGAGACGAGCAAACATCGATTTGGTGTGAGTCCAGTTGGTGAGGGCTACGACTGCTACAGAACATATGAGTTGCTTTTACTGGGTGTCATTCCTATCATTGAAGAAAGGTACCCCGAAAGCCACGATCTCTTTGAGGGGCTCCCTGTGATCCAAATGCCAAACATGAGAAATGCTAACAGTACTCAACAATTCACTGAAGCAATCAAGAGTTACATTGAGAGTGACAAGTTTCAGAATGCAAACTTTGAAGACGGTTGGCAGAGGCTCTTTCTCAAGTATCAGAGGCAGCAGCTTCTCCATGACACTGGTCGTGACAAGGAAATTTTGGTGGACGAGCAGGGGAGGGAGTACTACCAGGCTTATCACTACTCTGTGAGAGACAAAAGCGCTGAAAACAAGGTATTTTGTAGCGAGAAAGGCAGTTGTGAGTTCAAAAATGGAGGGTTGGGAAAGAAGGATTGGCCTCAACGAAAGACTCAAACCCAATGGGGAGAGCAGTGGGCAAAAAGTGGTAGATTCTAGATCGCATTGTATCCAGTTTGCAGGATTCTTCTAGCATTGTATAATTGCTAATTGTAAGTCCGTACTAGCTCTATCTCTAGTTGTCACGTAGTCAGTTAACATGGCTATCTCCGAGCTTCCAAACCTTTATCAGCGCTGCGGTCGTTGTCCAGCCAAGTATCTCGCTGTCAAAGTATGCCAGTGTCGACTAGATACGATTCGATGCTTTACGATCGTGATTTTACCAGCCGTCCCCGGTCAGGAATCCTTTCCCTCTAAGCTAATATCTTCCTTTTCTGCTACAACAACCGTCCAGTCGAAGGCAAGTACGTACATGTAGCATTCTGACATTTTTGACGGCAGTCTGGGATTGTTGGGTGAATGGAGTACTGGACGCTGCTTGGCTCGTGATGGCAGCACTGAACTGAATGGTGATGATGCATTTGCCTTGGAGTGGCAGGTGCGGGATGCAGAGCCCCTGCTTTTCCAGGAAGCTCGCTTCCCTCAGTATCCCACGACTTGCGCCCCTCCCAAAAAGACGTTGGGCAACCACATAGGCTCCAAGCACATGCAGCAGGATGCCGAGAAAGCCTGTGCTCACTGGAAGGAATACAAGGAGGATTGCATCTTTGATGTCATTGTGGCACCCTTAGTGTCGTGGTGGCTGCCGAAGGCCACATTGTTCCTGTATGTGGTGGAGTTAAGCACAAGGAGGGAGGACTAGCTTTTTAGAATTTTAAAGGTAGATAAGGTGTAGCGCCACCGAGGTGCGTGTCCTATAAAGTTTCACCCCTGTCTCTACCGCAGGAATGAATCAATCTCCAAAGCACAACCTTAATTGTATCGGTAGCTCTACAAGAGCCAAAGACGTATTCATGGATCTTTCGAGACAACACCCTCCTGGACACAGGCGACCGTTGGGAATGTCAACAATCACCTCGATGCGTCAGATGACGGAGTTGCAAAAGACACGGTTTTGGCCAGCCGGCTTTCTGAAAAACGGTCAGAATCGGAATTCTCTTCAACTTGTTCTGTTTCTTGGACGTTCTTCCGACGCGTCAAGGCCATCAAGTCAAGTGTCTGTTTGAGAGCTGTTGGGGTCAGTGTTTGATCTGCCAATGATATCATCGGCTTCAGACTGGTCGGAGACTTGTCGTTACCTTCCGCATCATCATCGCCAGAGCACCAAGCAAGAAAGAAGAAAGAAAGAGACCATACAGGTTTAAGGTGTGCATGTATAACTTCTAATAGTGCTATTCTTGCTGTGAGAAGACAATGAGATAGCATTGACAAAGATACCACCACGAGAAAAGCAAGAAACAATGGGAGCTAGGAGAAGATTCGTCTCCATGATCCGATGTGAGGATCCATCATCATCATCAACATCATCAAGCATTGGCATGAGAAAGCTCCAGGCGAAAATGTCCAGTCGGCATTACATGCTGGATATGATCACTGCGGTGACCATGGTGGGAATTCTCATATTGACGTTGGGTTCCATGGCCACGACACGAGAATCTGTGAATGTCCCTGCCAATGATGCCATCACAGTGTCCACTGTTGTCACCCCCATTCGGGAAATCAACAAGAGTGCGGAAGTGTCCGTGCTGGCCAGTGGTGAATTGGTGGCTCAATCTCCTGCCTTGGATTATTTCTTGACCAGGATGCTCCAGCCATTTCTATTGGAAGCTGGTTTGACAGTGACGGTGCATTCCATGGGCATTCCACTGATTGTGGCGTGTTCCAAGTGGTTGGGTCCTTACAGTCATTCGGGATGGACCATGCGACATCGATTTGTCGGCTTTGCGCGACTCTTGAAACGGCTAGGAAAGGCACCAAAAGCATGGAGACGGATACTCAAACCACCACAACCATTGCGACGATGGACACCAGCGCGTCTTTGGAGAAATTCCAAACGGGCCGTGCAACATCTCTACCGAAAGCGATCCCGGTATTCGGTCGCCAGTGAACTCACCAATCTGGTACCACCCGAATCATCCAATGCCTCCACCGAAGAATGAATGAAATGAAAAGCAACCCCAGCAAACGGTGGTATAGCATTAAAACTATGATGCCTCTAGAGGGAATGGGATAGAAATAGAACCTAACACGAACAAACAAATAAAAGAAGAACACTACAAAATAGTTCCATTCTGCAAGGAGAAAGGATCGCCTCCCGTTGACATGCTAAAATTCTAAACTTTGTTGGTAGACCTTGTTTTTCCTTCCATAGAAAGCAAATCTTCCCTCCTTAGTAGAGTCGAGTCGATGCTGTGCTAAACACAGAACCCAAGATCTGACTGGGGCTAGCTTGCTTGTGGTTGGTGTTGGGAGTGGTGTATATTGGATACGACTAGCAGGGTAGCGAACTACGGAATGGCGTCAAGAACCAAACAATGAAGTTTATCGGTACAATCAGAGCTATTCACTTGACCAAAAAGCCACGCAAGTCTTGCTCAAGGCAGAAATGCAATCTCAAGAGCTGCGCTGTGTCGTGGCTGTGCTCTCCAATTTGAGGATCTTATCCTTGAGAAAGTAACAGGCTGAAACCAAGGAGCACTCTCATCTACCGGTACTGTTTCAGCAAATGCCTCTTCCTTGTGACCCAACATGAGATCATTCAGTTCTTTCTTGGCTTCCTTCAACTGAAGGGAAGGGGACTTTGGAGGAACATGAACAACACACCATCCCAGCGCAGGGGACAAGGTTCCATCAACCGAAGATTGGGCAAATCCAATGATTCCTGCAAAGAACTCAATGTCAAGTGTGGTACCATGATAGTCCCAATCAACTGGTGCTGACGAAGCAAGAAGTGGAAAATGTTCCATCTCTGGGCCATAAAAGTACATCTCGTGCCAGGGTTTGAGGTTCGCATTGAGACTGCCAGATGCCAGATAGGGGAACAGGATTTGAATCCACCCAGAAACTATGGGATCCAGATCCACCTCCTGTGTCACGGAGCTTCACCATGGACTGCCAAAAACCGTGGTTGACATTGCCCTTGTAGCTCTCCACAAATTCATCCAATAAAGGTAGCAAAACGGGCATCCAGTACTCGGAGAACTCTTTTGTCATTAACCTCCCTAGATGCTCTGCACGGGCACGCAGCTCAACCCAGTCATCATCAGTCCCCAACAAGGTGATTTGGGGAATGCCACACCTGGTCCCCATGCCATAGGTATGGTAGTTCTTCATAGCAGACATGAGGGTGATTTCATGGCAAGCCTTTGCAGTAGCTGTTGTTGTGGTGAAGCTGGAAGCAATTGCTTCATGGGTTGTCTTGCCAATGTGATCCTTGATTTGGCTTGAGAAATCAGGCAAGATTTGAGTCTCCCATTCTTTGTCAGAAGCTCCTGTGTCGGGGTCTCCTCCTCTGCTCATGGCAAAGCTGGAATCGGTTTCCAGGAAAAGGCGCTTCTTTCCTTCATGCTGCACAAAATTCTTTCGTAGAGCTTCAGCGTTCCTATCCACATGCTTGGCAAAGGCATATGAGATTGCAATCCAGATCAAATCAGGGGAGAGTTCCAATGGCAGGTGCTGGGCAAATGCAGTCACCATAGCCATGACCAATCCATTGGCCCCTGTGTGCACCAGTCTCTTATCTCCTTTGGCACCCACATCTGAAAGTGCCTCCAGCTTCACATCAGAAGGCTCTATGGTTTCTGGGGCCGACAACCGCAATGATGGCTTCGAGCGGAACAACATGCAGCCGGAGCAGCTGTTGGAGCTCCCCTTGACAGTGCCGGCCCGGTAGCAGGGTGTTGTAGGCAGAGAGGGAAGTTATAACCTCCAACGGTACCGGTACTAGCTAGTACGCTCCTTGATGCCCACCATGAAACGCCTATTGCGACACTGCACGGCACTGTCAACTGCATCCAACACCTACACCTATGCTGTCATCGGCAGGCTGATGAAGCTACGGTTTTGTTTGGTTGTTGAAGGACCGCATCATTCCAGATGCCAATGGAAGGCGAGAATGACCATTCCCAGCGCCGTGATGTTGTCGTTTGGGTTGTCCCTGTATTGGTCCCCTGGAGTGTATCTCATCATCCCCGCCAATCAAGTCTCTCCTGTACGGGCCTTCGTTGCCACTGTGATGCACACTTGGGGGGTTGTCCTGATGATGTGCGCAGATAAACAAAAGTACTTTGTGCTGCAATTGAAGAAGGCGGTGATTGAGGATGGTTGGGTAGCATGGTGCAGAAATACCAACTATTTGGGCGAAATCCTTGTGTACACGGCCTACGCCATACTGTCGCAGCATTGGTTTCCCTGGGTCGTGAACGTGTTCAGTTGGACCATTGTCTTTGCATCCAGCATTGCCGAGAAGGATCTATCCTTTCGAAGAAAGGTGGGAGGGGAAGAATACGTTGAAAAAGCCGGGCTGCTTCTCCCGAATGTAGCAGGGTGGGCATGGGATGCCTTTTTGGCTCCTCAGAATTGGAAGAAAGTATCTTGACTGCCTCTTCAAGACAGAAGAAGACAAGCAATCGGGCATGGTGTCAGAAATTCTACGTAACTTTCACCAGTGACAAGTGAGATGCCAATTCCGTGAATAGCTGGTTAGGGCTGTTGCGGTATCATCTGCAGCAAAGCTCTACATGTACGCATCCCAAATGAAAGAGATGTGCTTTGTGCTGGTCCCACGGTACCGGTAGAGTGGACTGACGGTGTTGCTTAGGTCGAGGTATTGTTCCTGGAGTGGACCGGGATAGATAGCTGACTATCAGTGCCTTTGCATAGTTGGATCGTTGGATCTACTTTCATTACAGCACCAGCACCGTACCGGTACAGAAGTGAGCGCGAAGCTGATCTGTCGCAAATTGACATTCGTGCTTGGGGAGGCGAGGTACTAGTAGATCGTAGCGTTGGATAACAGATGCGAACGTCCCTTCTCATGCACGTACCGGTATGCCTCTCACAGCTCTGCTGCCTTTAATCACGCATCCAAGTCGGTGCCGGTACGACTGTACTAGCTAGACTAGTACGTACACGTACGCTGTATTGTACTAGAGCTACCTCGTACCGGTACACCAGTAACAGAGTAGCTAGCGGTAGCTAGCCAGCAAGCTAGTAGAGTTTCAGACGCGAATTTTGGATGACTGCTTTTGCTTGCCCCCATTAGCACGAGCAGCATGGGGCTGGAAATCGTTTTCGAGACTGCACAGGCGCGTGCATACAATGTCATGCCTTCACAAGTGCCTGCATGCAAATGTCGAAACGAACCAACCACATTCTTACCCTCCAGCAGCCATTTCACAGCAACTACTATAAACGGTGTCATCTGCTTTACGCCGTGACGAAGAGCTTCCACAGGATCTCCTGTGTGCCATATGCTTATCGGTTCCAGTTCGTCCTTGCCTGCTGCATCCATGCGAGCATGTTTTCTGCACTGATTGCGTTACTGATTGCATTAGAAAGCAGCCAAGTTGCCCCGTTTGCCGTCTTCCTTGCAAGTATCAAAGGAAACCCTCTTCGGGATCATTCTTCTATCGCATCTGGAGCACGGTCAAGGTAAAATGCGAAACATCCGATTGTCAGTGGACAGGTTCCATTGCCGACTACGAAGCACACAAAGATCGCACCTGCACCAACAAGATGTACCCTGCCATGGATCGTGCATGGAGTCCAACAGTGTCATTGGCGGGCACAACGTCGTGTCAGAACCCGACACAACGTCGTGTCACACATCCTAGCCGTGACAGTAGTAGCGTTACAGGGCTCCGCAGCAGCGAATCGCGGCCTCGTTCCCCCGATGCAGTCGAGAAGAGGAATGTTACTCTCACGAAGGCAAATCAACGTCTAAAGAATCGCATTACTGAACTAGATGAGCATTGCACCTATCTGCAACAAGAGAACCATCGATTGCACTTGCTACTTGAACAGGAGCAAGCGGGAGATGTGTAAAATAGGCTGGGTCAATGGCTCCAGTCTGCCCCCACAACTTTGGTTTGCTGTACTTCAAAGCAATGTGGACTACTGGAGTTCCCGCTGTATCGAGCTGTAGATGACTCTGGAGTTCTCCGGATGAACGCTAATCTCTGCAATGCTAACAACAACTCCAAGGAGTGTTCATGTACTTATACATTGTGTCTCCATTCAAACCCTGAGTTTGTCCAAACGATGTTGGATCTACGGTAGCTTTAGTGGCCTGCCAGAAACGCGTGGGGACTAGTACGCTAGTAGCAGCGGTACCGGTACATGTACCGGTAGCTTCGAAGCCTGTCCTCCCTTCCGTGATCACTTTGGCGTGAAGCCAGCTGTACGGTTTGGTATTGTACGCGGGTAGCGGCACGGTCCGTACTCCAGGATCCTGGGCAAATCCGATGGTATCTTTTTCTGCACAGTACTATGATAGTTTGCTCAGCAAGAACAGGACCAGCAAGCAAGCAACCTCCAAACAATCCATCAACCACAATGACGAACATATTGCTCACTTGTATCGTCGCCCTTCTACTTGCCTTTGCCGCTGCTGCGGAAGAATCAAGTCCCGATCAGCGGCTGCTGGCTGCTTGCTTGTCTCCACGAGACGACGAGTCGTCAGGTAAACCGCCGATGAAAATAGTGTTGTACTTTGCTAGCTAGCATGGTTCGAGTTTCCATTCTCATTTTTTGTGTATCCTTCCAATTGCAATCATCTACATGTATCTGTTCAATTTGCATTATTGTACTACTATAGCCATTGCCCAGGCCGCCAAGGATGGCGCCAATATCAATGTGAAAGATCCTAGAAGCGGCCAAACCTGTTTGATGGCTGCGACGCTTCGAGGCAAAATTAACGTGATTCGACAGGTGCTAAAACTGGGAGCCGACGTCACTATTCCCGAAAAAGATGGCTACACACCTCCTCATGGTGCCGGGTTTCAAGGAAGACCTGATATTATGAGACTGTTGAAAGAAGAAGCCAACGTGGATGTCATCAATGCGCCTCATCCCGATGGATATTTTCCCTTTCATCGAGCATGCTGGGGACGAGAAAAGCGTCATGCCGAAACAGTCAAGTATTTGTTGGAGATTGGAGAAGATGTCAACCGAAAGGGTGCAGGGAACCAACCACAAACGTGCGCAGAGATGACCAAGAATCACTACACGCTTGCAATACTAAAGGCACATGGAGCGGATGGTCTCCCGGACCACCAGGAGTTTTAGATGGGATACCGAATCGAATCTTTGCTCAATACCAGATCAATTCTTTTCTCGACACAACACAACAAGCGAATGCCAGATCCATGTGGGAGAAGTTTCAACTTCTTCCGAAATAGGACCATTCCACGGCAAAACAACAACGGCACAACACAGATAGAAAAAGCAATAGAATCTACTGAAAAAATTCGCGTCTCGGCACCATTCAACAACAATCAAAACGATCCGCCTAGCCTAGCCAAAACGAACGTTTAGATTGCCGGGTAAGAGGCAATTCCGGTGCAGTCTTCTAGCCCTCCAGCCTGGTGGTTTCGAGAGTAGTAGACGTCCCCGTCAGTGCTGAAGCGTCGTAGATATAGAGTAGTCTATTAGCTTGCTAGAGTGTGGACCAGTCGAGAGGGACGAGTCACAAATGCAGATGGAGCATACTTCCAAGGGAACCTTCAGCACGATCTGATTTCGACCTGCACAGCCAAAGAGACAGTTTGAAAGTGAATGATTCAATCGCAACGTTTACCCGACGAGGGGGGAAATCTGCCGCTTCGGTTCTTGGATTTTGAGTTAATGGCGACACGTAACTAGCTAGCTAGCAACCACATCCCACGAAGCCATCAAAGCACAAAACTACTAGGCTTCTAGCTAGCGACCAAACACTTCGTGCCAAATCGAATGTGGTAGTTGAGTAGCGGGAAATAGTAGAATTGGAGACACAAAACAAGTATTATAAGAAAGTAGAATGACAAGAAAAAGGGATTTCCCGTTCCCAAATCTCTAGCTACTGGTTGGCCTGTGCTGGTTAGCTCGCCGCGTTCCTTGAGATTTTCCGGCTTCGTAAACAAATTGCAAGATCGAGCTCGGTCTCAATGTCATTGAAGCACGCTACCAGTGCCAACGAAAAGCTCACAAATCAATCAAGCTCACAAACTAAATCAACCAACCAAACAAACAATAAACCATGAAGACCTTCTCCCAAGTTGCCTTGCTCCTTTCTTTCCTAGCAGCTGCCGCTTCCACTACACAAGCAGCCCACCTTCGAAGCACTGCAGTCCAGGAACAAAACCAAGAACAGGAAACTCGAAACATGCAGTTGATCAATGCTGAATTGCTCAATGCACTCATTAGCACCTATCTTGCACCAGAAATTGATGTGCTCTTGCAGACCGTCTTGGGAAATAACTTTGATCCAATTTATCTAGGAGAAGAAACAACTATTCAGACCGAAGAATTGGAACTGGCTCTCCCACCGAACGGCATTGTCACTTGCCGAAGCTCTGCATCAATTACCTATGGAGTTGGGTACATTACAGGGTTAAGCTCCATCCAAGTCAATGCCTTGGAAATGGTACCAGGAAGTGAAACCATCAATGTTGGCATGGAAAATATCCTCGCGGGTCCATCAGCAACATGGAATGGAACCTGGTTGGTCAATGCCACATTGGAAGACTTGACAGCTGAAACCAGTGTCACGTTTAGAGCACAAGCCTGTGGCATCCCTCTGGAACAAAAGGTGACAGGAATCACGACTTTCCAGAGTCCCTCATTGCAAGCGTCCATGACATTGGGAGGGGATACAGGCAATTTAATCTTGATGACATCAACCACTGAAATCACCACGGCACAATTCGAAAGTTTCAACTTGGAGTTTGGATCCATTGATGCTGGCATCGAACTTGGTGGAACTGTTATTCCTACCTTCGCTTTGGGTGATTCCTTTGATGCTTTCTTGCTCAACAGTGTGGTCAACAGGTTGGAGCCTCGTATTGTGGATCTTGTGAATCAAGCCTTGTCAGGACTTCTCCCTATCTCATTGCAGTAAGCAAAGCAAAGAGAACATCATTCTGCCGTGCTAGGTTATCTGTACTAAATAAATAAATGAATGTTATGTAATGCTATGTCATGTTATGAAGTAACCACAGCCTTCCCAGCAAGTTTGATAGTTGGGCTATCAACAGTTTAGCTGGTGGGCATATGGATGGTTTCATTCCTTTTTCTCCTCATCTTTCAGAGTCTGCTGCATGGTTTCTGTTGCTTTACCCAATTCTGCGTATCATCTCTCCATTTTCCTTATTGTTCAGTTGTGCTTTCTTTCTGGGGTGCGCCCTCTGGTCTGTCTACATTGGCCTCATCCATTCCTTCTGTGGTTTCTGTTGATTCCTCCTTTTGTTTGTTGTCGATTGTGCCTCCTTGTTCCATTTCCTGTTCTACCTACCTGATCTCTTCCTTCGGTCATTTCTGTTGTTGCCTTACCTGGAACCAAGTCTGCATCCTTTTCGTTGTCTTTTGCCTCTTCTTCTTCCATTCCACCGTCTTCTTCAGTGGCTTCATCCGTGACATCCTCGATACCTAATCCTTCTTTGGTGTCTGTGTCGTCTCCAGCTCCTTCTTCCTGTTCTTCTGCAAGACACAAGATATCCCCAACTTGCACATTGAAATTCATCCCAAGAAAGGCAATGAATCCGCCCAAAAACAGTTCAATGGCTTCTTGTGGTACCCGTACCTTTTGGAGCACTCGGACAACATCTTCAGTATGCATGCAATCCTTGTCGGGTCGTTTCAATCGTTTGATAAAACGTTGTGCCTTGTAGACTTTGAGTAGTGCCTTGGTCAGCTTCACCAGTCTCAGTGGATTTAGAAACTTCTTGGTGAGTTTCTGTACCACGGCCACCTCGACGTACTGCTTGATGGCATCATCGGCACCTTGAATGGAATCGACGATATACGCAACGGTATCTCCGTCCATGTGTTCACTCTTTTGTAGTACATGCAAGAAGCCTCCAATGGCAATATCCGCTTGATGGACGTGTTCAAATCCACATTCGGCGGCCAGTCCCTTCAATTCTTCCATCAATCGTTGCTTCTCTTCCTCGGACAAGGGTGGTCTCAGATCTTTTGGAGGCTTTTCTGCTTCCTCCTCCTTTCCTCCTTCCCACCACTCTGACAAACACTCCCGCCATGATGACAATTCATTGCCCATCTTTCTTCATTTTGGATACAGCTAGCTGGCAAAAGTGGATGATACCTCTGTTGGAAGGCGTAGCATTACATCATCATCATCTGGTGTGGCAAGGGAAGATTTTGGAGTTGGGAGGAGCGACGAAGATCCCAACAATAACCCCAACCCTTTTATCGCAGACACGCCTCATTCTTTCGAAGCAGCTGTTGCTTTTGTGCAAGTCCACCAGCAACCAGCCGGATCGTTGGTGCTGGGTCCTGATGAATGCCATGGTACGTCATCAAAGATGACATACTAGCTAGTAGTTTGTGAGCAGGGTTGGGACAGCTTTCTACTTCTCCAGAGTATACCGGTAGAAGACAGCACACTTCGTTGTTGCTTTTGAGTTACTGTAGTTGCAATACGGAATCATGGCGACATCTCAAGGAGTGCATGTGATAGTGGGTGGTCTGGGTGGCATGGGACGATGTCTGCAACAGCAATTGCTGGCACATGGCAAACAAGTGCGGGTCCTGGATTTGGCCCCATCGGCTCAAGCGGCTGCCAGTCGTCTGGTTCATCCCACATCGATTGAGTATGCCCACTGCGATCTTTCTTCCAGCAATTCTACTGATATGCTACACGACGCCTTGAAAAATGCCGAAACCGTCTACTCACTGGTCACGCCCGATGTATTGAATGGATCTGCCGCTGCCATGCGTCGCACCAACGTGGAAGGAGTCCAAACTCTGATTACAGCGTGTCAAACGGTGGGAGTGCCCAAACTAGTCTATGCGTCCTCCATGGCAGTCACCAACCAGCTGTTCGACCACAAGGAAGAAAATGAACAAGTGCCTCTGCCCGACTGGGACACCTACCAGTTGGCCTATGACAGGACCAAACGACAAGGAGAAGAATTGGTATTACAGGCAAACAACAGTAATAGCAATTTGCAGACGTGTGCACTCCGTCTCGGTAGTGTCATGGCCGGACAGGGAGATTACACCACGCGACACATCCTGGAACGACCCGGCCAAGTCATTTCGATCCCATTTCCAAGATTGATTGACACCGTGTCGGCAAGAGATTTGGCCGTAGCCTTTCGATTGGCTTCGGACAAGATGGATGTCACGGATAGTCCCGTCGGTGGGAAAGCCCTGTTTACCACCAAGAGCAAAAATGATCAAGCCGCCACAGTCCCTGGAACGATTGAGTTGTTTGCCCAAGAGTTTGGCTGGAAACTTGTCAAATTACCTACCTCTGTCGTGATGGCCATGGCTCATGGATATCGAGCCAAGGAAACAGTCAAGGGGCTCTTCCGTGCCCCCGACGAAGAGTCCACCCCGGGAATGCCCTTTGACTTGACCATGGAAGCTTGCACCAAGGAAATGACATTTGACAATTCATTGGCCAAGGAATTGTTGGGCTATGAACCACAAGAAACATGGGAAGATGCTGTCATTCGCATTGCCAAAGAATGCCGTGAAGCTTATCCGGATCTTTTCTCGTCGTAGCGACTGTTGGAGCCGGGCAGCAAGGACAAAACTGAGCGATTACATGTAGATTGCGTAGTAATTTCCTTCCAATGATCCGTGGAAAATTTCTCATTTTACCATTACGATATTGTTTTTCGTTGTGGTCCGTTCTAGCAAGGGGGCTTGGCTACCCGTACATGTACATCGGTTGAATGATTCAATCAATCACTCAATTGATCAGCCAGATCATCTATCTGATTTATCCAAGGCCGGCAAGATTTGATGAATTGGAAGAAACGGAGTAGTCTTCCAGCAGCTTGGCTGGCCTCTTGGAATCTCTGGTTGAGATGGCGAGAAACGAGATCCAACATCTCCCCAACCCTCTTGTCGTAGACCAGCTTCATTCTTTCGAAGTCCAACTGCATCCAGCCAGATCGCATGCTGGCATGATGAATGCCGCTGAACGATGACAAGTTTGTGAGCAGGGTTGGGACGTGTGGACAGCTATTACCTGGTATCTACACTGTACTACTCCAAAATACCGGTAGAAAGAGAGCACATTTAGTTGCTTTTGAGTTCGTTGTAATAAAGTACGAAATCATGGCGAAGTCTCAAGGAGTGCATGTGATAGTGAGTGGTCTGGGTGGCATGGGACGATGTCTGCAACAGCAATTGCTGGCACATGGCAAACAAGTGCGGGTCCTGGATTTGGCCCCATCGGCTCAAGCGGCTGCCAGTCGTCTGGTTCATCCCACATCCATTGAGTATGCCCACTGCGATCTTTCTACCAGCAATTCTACTGATATGCTACACGACGCCTTGAAAAATGCCGAAACCGTCTACTCACTGGTCACACCCGATGTATTGAATGGATCTGCCGCTGCCTTGCGTCGCACCAACGTGGAAGGAGTCCAAACTCTGATTACAGCGTGTCAAGCAGTGGGAGTGCCCAAACTAGTCTATGCATCCTCCATGGCCGTCACCAACCACCTTATAGAGCACAAGGAAGAAACCGAACAAGTACCCCTGCCCGACTGGGACACCTACAAGTTTGCCTATGACAGGACCAAACGACAAGGAGAAGAATTGGTATTACAGGCACACAACGGCAATAATTTGCAGACATGTTCACTCCGTTTGGGTTCGGTCATGGCCGGACCGGGAGATTACAGCACGCGACACATTTTGGAACGACCCGGCCAAGTCATTTCCATCCAATTTCCTAGATTGATTGACACCGTGTCTGCACATGACTTGGCTGTCGCTTTTCGATCGGCTTCGGACAAGATGGATGTCACGGATAGTCCCGTCGGTGGAAAAGCCATTTGTACCACCAAGAGTAAGAATGATCAAGCTGCCACGGTCCCTGGAACAATAGAGTTGTTTGCCCAGGAATTGGGCTGGAAAGTGGTCAAATTGCCTGCCTCTGACGCGGTTGCGATGGCACATGGATATCGCGCCAAGAAAACAGTCAAGGGGCTGTTCCGTGCACCCGATGAAGAGTCCACGCCGGGATTGCCTTTTGACTTGGTCATGGATTTTTGCACCAAGGAAATGACATTTGACAATTCATTAGCAAAAGAATTGTTGGACTATGAACCACAAGAAACATGGGAAGATGCTGCCATTCGCGTTGCCAAGGAAACTCGCCAAGCCCATCCGGAGCTTTTCTCGTTGTAGTGACTGTTGGAGACGGGGAGCAAGGGCAAAACTGAGCGATGATAGATTACTATTGTGTAGTAATTTCCTTCCAGCCAATGATCCGTGGAACATTTACTTCTCAATACCATTGCCTATTGTTTTTCGTTCTGGTCCTGTCTAGCGAAGCGCCTTGGCCAAATCGATTGAAGTATGAGAATTTGATTGACAATGATGCAAGAAATGACTTGACTCTCGCTGGACTTTTCAAGATCACTCATAGGTACTGTACCACGGTGTTTACGGTGCATCCCACCCTTTTGCTGCAACCTACTAGTAGCTGGTAGCTACCGGTAGCTGCCGGTGGGGAGTTGGAAGCTTTCCTTCCAGGCGCGACCGCTGGGAGGTCTGGACAGTCTGCGGTACCGGTATGATGTCCAGCAGCTTGGCTGGCCTCTGGAACGAGAAAGATACCAAAGATACTGCGACAGCGCGACCTCATCAGGAGACTCATCAAAGCAGAGCAAATCCTCAAGAAG